CGTATATCTGTCCCAATTCTGAATTGTTTGTTACAGATAAAGAGGTTTCAAATGTGATTTTATAGTTAAAAATCAAAAGAAAGCACTTTTTCAGCCCTGTTTACAGAAGGACTTGTTAATTTAACATTGAGGAAACAGGCGTGCGTCAATAAAAACCTCAAAATGGAGGTGCAATAAAACAAACTGTACAAAAACAATTACATAATCACAGTCATTCGTTTAAGGTACTATTTACATCTTTGACCTCATTATTCATGTCATACTGTAAGATCACCACCCAAACTCCTTTACTGCGGTTTCACAATTTTATTACAACGTCCCACCATCGGGAGATTTTTGTGACGTTGGAGGGCATAACGGACCATCATCCCTTATTGCTGCGTGGCTCATATTCTGATAAAGTTACAGAACTTGAAAACTTTCTGCAACAACTACATGATGAACCAAACCGCTGAGAAATGCTTTTTGAAAGTGGCAAACCTGGTATTAAAAGCAAGCTACAATGTGTACAGTAGGACACTGAGAAAGAAGAAAATCATTACGGTTTGATGGCACTAATGCTCAGAAGTCTGTATATGATCCCCGTGCCTCACTTCAACCTGGAGTAAACGCACACATATTGACCTACAACACAGCATCAATAAAACCCAAATAAAGATCAACAAAAGAACAGCACAAAAGCATGCTAGCTTCAAAATCAACTCATAATACAGTCAAACACAGTTTTATTAGGGTTACCTGATCAGAGGTTTACATTTCAGTAGGGCTGCCTTTTTGCATATTTTTTATGCATTATGAGTTAAAAACTGTGTCTAATTCGAACATAATTAAATATCTATCCATCTTTTTTCCATTTCTAATGTGTAGTTTATTGGGGTGATTGCAGTGATGAGAGTAAATCAGTATGTACATGATCAGAAGTGAAGAAATGGGCAGTGTTTGGCACAGAACAAGAGATTCTGTTCCCCATGTTGACTTAGACATTTACCAGTAATATGATTAGCTTGGCAGCTGTATCAGCCTGTGCCGCATAGGGTTTGATGGAAATGACCCAATTTATGCTGCAGGGATACTCGAACTGAAATGCATAAAACCTGCCCTTTAGTGCAATTGCATCAGTGCTGATCATTTCAATGCAATTCTCTAGTTAAACCAATCAAAACAACCAGCATTCAGACACTACCCACATCAAAATCAATCTTGATGAAGGTTGGATCCAACATGGTTCAACAAGAGAGAAAGGCCTCAAATGTTAGTTGAAATTACCTCATTTTCAGCATCTCAAAACCTGCCTTTCATGACAGCATCCTGGCACTGCAGTGATAGTGACTTTTATAGCTTTGCCTACTGAAAAATATTAAAAAATTAAAAAGGCAAAAGCAAAACCGTTGTCTTCCCCAGAACCAAACTTTAAACCACAGGACGTATATTGTCCAAGTAAACGTGAAGATGCAAAGAAGACTTCTAGAGAGTAATATGAAGACACTTTGAAGAAGCAGAACTTGAAGCAAATTAAAAAATACTGAGTCAGAACAAAGAAAGAAAGCTGAATTGATGGGGAGATCATGAAGGGAGACAGATTTTCTTTTGGCACTGTAGCCACAGTGGCAGTGCTCTTCTGTGGGTGGACAAGACACCAGACGAGGGGAGAGAGATGCAACAGATGAGAAAAATAAAATAAAACAAAAAGAGACTTCACTAAATACAGCTCATGAGCAACTAAAATATCTTCCCCAACCCTTTTCTTCTGTACAGGAGAGTTCATTTTCAAGCCCTCACTCTGTGCATCCTGATTTAACTCTTCCCTAAAAAAAAAACATCTATCGGCAAGTTTTGTCACTCAGTCCAGTCCAACAACAGTTCTCCTTTTACAGTTTTGAGCCTCTTTTATGAAGGGAATAAATCTTAGGTAAACTTGGAGTCCTTGCCGAACAAAAGTTCTCCATGTTCTGTAGCAGTTCTCTTACAGCACACAGGACGACGTCTGCGGGTTTCCATTTCGGTTTTGCTTCCACTAAAGAAGTTCCTCAGAATAGTTTCACAGGCTCAGATCCTCCGTCTGAGGTCGGTTAGTGCAGATCATTCAGAGCAGAGGCCCCACTTTTGATTCAGGTTTGGTTCAGGGTGCAGTTCTATAGGTTCTCCCCAGGCTGATACTGAGGTTCTGTGGAGGTGAAGTAGTCCTCTAGGAAGCCCTGCAGATACTCAAAGGTAGGTCTCTCCTCTGGGTCCTTCCTCCAGCAGGAAAGCATGAGCTCATGCAAAGAAGTGGGGCACTCTGCCGGGCAAGGCATCCTGTAGCCGCGCTCCACCTGGTCGAGCACCTCGCGGTTAACCATACCTGACAAAACAAAAACAGGAAGTCAGATTTAAAGAAACACACACACACTTTGTCCTACAGTTAATCTCGTGGACTAAATCTGAGAAGACCATTAATACACTTCATGTAAATAAACCATTCTGCTGTATCATGTCCAATCCAAATATTGTTTAATAATCTAAAATAACTGTTTCGTGTCTAAGATATTTATGTTGTTAAAGTGGAACTTTAACCTGGATAGGGGACTCTTCCTTTAGTTGCAAGCTCAGTAAGTAGAACACCAAAGGACCAGACATCTGATTTGATGGTGAAACGACCGTACAGCGCTGCTTCAGGTGCCGTCCATTTGATTGGAAACTTGGCTCCTACAAGAGGAAAATAACAACATTTGTGTAAAAGACATATCTGAACAGCTTTCCAATTCTTTTGTTAAATAAAACAAGAGTTATGGTGCCAATATCCCATCTGTTAAGTGATGGGACAACTACTTACCCTGTCTTGCAGTGTACTCGTTGTCTTCAATCAGCCTTGCCAGACCAAAGTCAGCCACCTTACACACTAAGCTGTCTCCTACCAGGATGTTAGCAGCACGCAGGTCTCTGTGGACGTAGTTCATCCTCTCCACATAAGCCATCCCCGCTGCAATCTGACCAAAGATTGGACATGGATTTTGAAGCTTAATTAAATTTTTATTTATTTTTTTAACACAGAAAAGGACACAAACAAGAACACAATAGAGAAGTTTACCTGAGCAGCCATGTCTACCAGCTGTGGCAGACGAAGCATCTTTCCTGCCTCTCCTTTAAGGAAGTCCAATAAACTCCCTGTGAAAGCAGGGAAACAGAACCACATTTATCAAACCTGCAGTCGCACATATTACATCAGTGATGGATGTCATCCTTGTATCCTATCACCAAATCATTTCAACTGTTGCATTTCAAGTTTCTATTTTTCTTTTTTTGGTTGCTCCCTTCTTCAAGAGTCACCACAGCGAGTGAACTCACATGATTTGTCAATTGTTTTACACCAGATACCCTTCCTGACACAACCACAGACCACCAAGCCACAGCCCTCTGTGTGCAGCAGAGAGCTGCTGTCTAGGGCACCCGGGGGAGCCATTTGGGGGTGAGAAGGGTGGGGGATGGAGGGTTAAGGTGGTTAAAGGCAAAGAACAGTGGTGGGATGTAACTAAGTATAAGTACATTTTACTGTACTCAAGTATATTTTTCATGTATCTGTACTTTACTTAAGTAGTTAAACGTGGGTACTTTCTACTTTTACTCCCCTACATTAAGTGTTTGTACTTTCTACTACACTACATTTCTATAATGTGTTGTGTTACAAGTTAAATCCACGTTGTTTTTTTTTAATTTGTTCATTAGTTTGAAAGTAACCAATGGCGAGAGGGGAGTTAGTCCATTGAATCATTGCAAAGTGGGCAGGTAACGTTAGACCCACCTTCAAGAAGAGATGGACCAATGACGTAAATTCTAGTATATACATCATTGAGCTGGGCACACCCACAGCACTGCTAACACACCCAAAATGAATTATACTGCGGAGAGTCAGCCAGAAGATATGCACCACTTACGGCTTTATTGAAAGATTATTGAAAGACTGTTGAAAGACTATTGAAAGACTATTCAGTGCAGAAGGACAGATTCTCTCTCCCAAAAGAGACAGACTGGATTAAAAAAAACTTTGAAAACCAACTTCTTCTGAACTTGAACAAGAAATTCTTGCTGCAATATTAAAATGTGTCAGTTCATGGGATGTTAGGACAGGAGACAAGAGATGTCTCCAAATATTTCGACACTCGGGTCCAAGTTTTGAAAATGGTGTCAGGAAGTTAAAATATTGTTCACTATTGACCCATTACAAGGTTGACTAGATAGTATTTTAACTAGTTGACATGAAATGATCAGATATTCCTTTGTTAGGTCAAATGCTTCTTTTTTCAGACCAACAACTTTTACTTAAATGTGTTTACTGCATTTAAAATGACATTGGTTTTGATTTGTGTTAAATAAAAACTTTCAAAGGTATAATCATCCCTCTTATTTTGCTTAATGACATTTAACTCTGCAGGTTATCTCTGAAATTCTTACGCACAGAATCACAAGTCCAAGTGTGAACTGTGTCACAGAGTAAATACAATAAAACATGCATCATCTGCAACATTGTTCATTAAAATATCTCAACACTATTAATGTGTTACAGAAAATATACATATGGTAGGCACACTTAATGCTCTTGTGGACCATTGCATTAGGGAATACATTCAGTAAGGACTTTTACTTTTAATACTTTAAGTATTTTTAAAAGCAAGTACTTTTACTCAAGTAAAAACGTTAATGTGGTACTTCTACTTTTACTAGAGCACATTTTTGTCTGTTTATTTGTACTTTTACTTAAGTACAGTGTTTGAGTACTTTCTCCACCAGTGGTCAAGAGTGGGGAAAATGAAGGTGGAAGCAGATGTGCTTCATTTTCTCCACCCACATTTTGATGTTACAGTCAGCAGGGGGATTTGACCCAGCGACCTTCTGATCACCTCCTCTATCCTCTGCTCCACCACTTCACCTCCATTTTAAGATTCTAATAAAAGTCAGTTATTGCAGTTCTGAATCTGCTTCTAGTTTGAGCCTACCATCCTGTATTACCTTGGCTCATATACTCAGTCACAATGTAGATGGGCTCCTCAGACACAACAGCGTACAACTGGACCAGCTTCTCATGCCTCAGTTTCTTCATGACCTGTGCTTCCTGGAGGAAGGCCTCTGGAGACATGGTGCCAGGCTTTAAGGTTTTGATGGCTACCCGTGTTGTACCGTTCCATGTGCCTGTCACAAACCAGACAGAAACAAGTTGTCAATAAAACAGCATGCTCATTTAAGGACGGCTTATCATCATATATTAAAATGGTCAACTCTGCACAGGATTTAACATTATGTTGCACTTTATTCAGAAAACAAAATGACTTTAAAAAAATCTAAATATGAAGGATGGAAAAGCTCTTACCCATCCAGACTTCTCCAAAGCAGCCCTGTCCCAGTTTAACGTCCAAGCGAAGGGATTCTCGAGGAATTTCCCAGGCGTCCCTGGCCAGCCCCTGGGTCTGAGGTTTGGCCACTGGACACACATCTGTTAGTGCATGACACAGCCCATCAGAGTGCTCTGAAAGATGGAAGGCAAGGCAAAGTGAAGAAGCATTTTAGGGACAGCAGTGTTCTTAAAGGTTATAGCCATCAGCACCACCTCACTACTCACTGCGGTAGTGGAAGACTAGTTGTTGTAGGCTGGTGAACTGGGTGCGGGAGGTGATGTAGAAACCACCACTATCCAGCTTCCTGATCTTGTAATGTTTAACATTGAGGCCTTTGCTGTTATCATAATCCAGCACGGACAAGCAGTACGCCCCTGTGAGTGAGACAAAACAACAGATGGAGATATTTTGGATGTTTTAGTGTCTCTGAGCCACTTTGACAGCTGTTCTGTGGACTTTACTAGCAGCTGTGCCTTGGATCTATAACTATCCAGCCTTTCATCCAGGGTCCAGTTTGATTTCAGTTTTGTCAATTTGTTAAAAAAAAAAAACTTTTTTTTGGCAGAGAAAAAAACAACTAACTTTGAGGTTAAAGAAATGTCCTTGAGGAAAAATGTCATGAGGTCAAAAAGAACATGTCGTGATGAAATGTGTGTAGGTTTGGAAAAACAGCTACAGTAACACAAGAACCTAACCATGTTTACTCTAAGCTGGGATGTCTGTCTGCTAAAAACCACCAAAAACTTTAGTTTGCCTAATTTGGTTTGCCTGGTTTAATAGTTCTGTTTGTTATTAAGGCTCAGCATTTAAAAAAAGAAAAAGAAAAAAGCAAACAACACATTTTTTTAAATATATTTTCATAAAAGTCTGCTCACTTTAACCTTGAACCTCTTGTTCATCTACAATAATTACATAATAATAAAAATAATCAGGTGTGCTGGAGATCTTTAGACCTTTTAACTCTGGATTCACCCAGCTGGTCGTTCAAACTCACCTTTACTCCCCAATGACATTATGTTACTTTTACCAATCTACACCGAGATGAGGACCTTCACCAAGCTTTAAACTCACTTCACCTATGATCTGGACCTCCACCTACCTCCATCTACTGTTGCTGGTTTTCTGGAAATGATATCTGATCATTTGCAGGAAATAAATAAATCAAAATCTTATTAAATTGTGGGTCAAAGTCTAGGAAGTGATCTAAATGTCTGAACGGTGTTACAAAATCTGAGTTCTACAGTGAGGCCTTTAAAGAGTGACATAAAAATATCTATCATCTGATCTGCAGGTTTGCCAACTGATAATTTTCCATCCTGTGTTGGGGAAAAATAAATAAATCTAGACCAGGAAAGTTACACTTTCTAATTCACCATAATCTTTTCAGCATTGTGTTCCTCTACCATTTTAAACCCTGACTTTCCATGTTCAAGTCCAAAAGTGCTTTAAATAAAATCTGCTGGGGTCAAAATGAATACAATTACAACTAATAGGCCAGCTCATTGTGTTTCTGATCACGTAGGACAAAAGAACAGTCCAAAAAGCCTCTAACAAAACTGAAACAACCGAGGTAGGTCAAATATCTGATTTACAGGACTGCCTCAACATGTAAGCAGCATGCTCCTGCTCATATATGACACATTATTAACCGAACATTTGACAGCGAGTACAGGACGCACCCAGAGGCAAGATATCTTCAGCCAGGGCTCCTCCTACTCTCCCCGATTTGACCCCTTTCTTTCTTTTCTTTGATTTGCCCCTTAACGATTCTATCCCTTCATGCTTTTTCTGCCACTCTTCTTGTGCGTGTGTGTGTGCTAAGACTTCTAGCCAGAGGGGAGAACCAGCACCCTACAAGGCTGACCTAGTTCTGGGTGAGTGATTCACCCCCATCCATTCACAAGTCCAACCCACTCCTCGAAAAAACAACCCGTTAAAGAGTCCACCTACATCACAGACTCAGTGTGACTGCACAGTTTCAAGAGAAGGTGAACTCTACAACTTGCCCAGAGAACTATTTTTTTTAGTGTAAAAGCTAACATACTACTTAATTACAAGGTTCTTCCTCTGTTAAATGATGTCCCTTAAGATTTACCCATTAAAACGGAACTCACATTTACAGGAGAGTGAAGACTCCAGAGACACAAAGACATCCTCTACTTTTTTTTTTTTTTTACACTTTTAATGCATAAAAACAAAGGAATCTAAGTTTTAATTAACATTTGTAGCTAGAATGCTTAAAGGCCATTGGTACAATTTACATCAACATGCAGCACCTGAAAAAACCATGATATATTGCTGCTAAATAATTATGCTTGATGATTATACGCTGCTAACAAGATCCTCCGTCTGCCTGCATGGACCGAACTCTGCGGACCTGTTTGGTTCAGCGGGGGAACCTTGGATGTTCTCCGTCTGCTGGACCCAGTTCTGGAGGGCAGTCTGGGAGGCAACTGCTGCGTTCCTTATCATAATCATGCTGCTGAAGAGACCTGCTAACAAGACCTGCTAACACTGCTATCAACACCACGCTGCTAACTGAACCATGGTGCCAACGGGACCATGTTTCTAAGAGAAACCTCATTGCTAACTGAACCTCCCTGCTAACAGTATCATGCTGCTAACTGAACCATGTTGCTAAGAGAACCTCACTGTCATCAGAACCACTCTGCCAATAGAGCATACTGCTGTAGATTTGTATTTCTTGTTCACTTTTGGCACATTGTTTCTGTATTTTTGTTGCATGCTTTGAATAAATCCTAGTTTATGTTAGTTATAGTTTATGTTAGTGCTTACATTAAGCGTGTAAATTATAGCCGAACAGAACCTATGAGAATCGTGCTGCTGTTGTTGGTGTATTGTTTTACATTATTAGTGTTTAGATCTTTTTTTTTAGATTTTTTTAGAGTGCCGTTGGGCGTTCGTTTAGCATATATCTTAGTTTATATCTTAGATCCTTATTTACCGTTTCTTTTTACACTTTATATTTTTGCTATTGTTTGTTGTAACTGGGACCTTGTGTACATAATTTTGATCCACCTCATGTACCACATGCAATGCGAATGACAATAAAGAACCTTGAATCCTTGAATACCTTAAAATTAGATCACAGCTGCACATTTAAAATAGTCTCATTATCAATTTATTTAGATTTTCTTATGCTGTTTTAACATACACACACACACACACACACACACATACACCCTAGAGAGGTTCAGGAGAATGTGAAAACTATTTGGGCGGTACGTTTTTTTCCTTCCCCACAGTTGCTGTTCACACACACACTAAACAGCAGGAGGTTTTCTGCTGCAGATGCCCTCTCACAGTGTGAACTTAAAGGAAGGAGCTGCAGGGAAGCGTGTGCCAGGAGGAGCAAGGATTCAGGGTATAATGCAAAAACAGTAATAATAATAAAAATAAAAACATGAAAATTAATGAATTTCATTTGCATCACAATGAGAATAAAGCACGAGGTGCCCGACGAGTGTTTGTGTTCACTGTATGAAGCCGGAACTGAAACATCTACACACAATCACAGTGATATGTGGAATAAAACAGAACTGGTCAATAAAATAATTACAATACATTCTCAAAATCTAAAATTGCTTCCACATTCTTGATTTAGTAAAACTGATAACTCAAAGTTTTATAAAAACCCAACAATAATCAATATGCTGTACCATCATCAGTGAATAGTTGGCAGCTTTACATTAAAAAGTTTGGGTTGAGAAAAGTTAGTGCTTGGTATGAAAAGCAACAGTTTAATAATTATAATATCTGATAAGAATAATTTAATAGCTGCCGGTCTAAATTTGACAGTCCGCTTATTCTTTATGAGATCTCAAAATCTAATCAACAGTTAAATTTTTGCACTTTTTGCAGTACTTGGTAACCTGAAATGAACAGTTTTCAAAAGCTGCTAGTTTCATACATCAGTATGAAGAAGAGAAGAAAAAGACCCAACCGTGATGATGGATCCTAATAATGACTGTAGGCTTTTGAAGGAAAACATCCAGCATGTCTGTTTGCTCACCTTTAGTGGTCTCACTCTCCCTCACCAGGAAGGTTCCTCGTCTGTTCTGCAGATTCAGAAGGAGCCTTTCCGAGTCACGACGAGTGATCTTACCGAAATACCACCTGCAGAAGTGGGCGACAGAGAGGAAGATCAAAGACAAACTCCAGCTGAGCTGAAGCAGGAGAAGCCATTCATGTGTTCATATTAATAAATGGTGTCAGTAATCCCTGCTTTTTTACCAATGAACACAATGCATACAGAAAAGAAGCGCTGCACTCTGGCTCAGCACAGGAAACGCTGAGACGTACGGGAACATGGGCAAAACAGAACTGCAAGAATCAAACAAGATAAATACTCTTCTGCTTGGATGGAGTCGGATGGAGCCACGTAGTTGCTGGGGATGTAACCACTTTCTCCTGTTGTTAGGGAGCGAGCGAGCCACCAGTCCCCCTCTCTGTGTAGGAAGGAGACAGAAGACAGAGACAGAAATTTAAACATAACGGACAAAACTAAACTAGAAAATTAAAAATCTTTTTTAACAGAGCTATGTAAAAACTACAGCAACTTTTAAATACTCACTTTAAATAAATAATAAAATGACGTATTCCTTTAAAAATGACTCCAACATGTTCTATGATATTTTTTAGAAGCCTGTCTGAATATCCGTTAATAACACCAGAGCAATAATATAAAGTATTTGGATAATATTTAAAAATCAGTTTTCTTCCACCTGCGTGCTAGAAAAGAGTTACCAACACAAAAGTAACTTCAACTTGGATAAAGTCTTGAAATCATAACTGTTAAAACAAACAAACAAACAAAAAAAATTAACATAGAAAGTGTATAAAATGTGTGTGTGAATATGATTTTGCTCTATATATATTTTTAATCCACTCATGCAGTTTAATTCCAGGTTAAGGGTATCATACATGCAGCTTATCCAGGGCAGCTTGTCATTTGAACCTCGAGGAACTTCCTCACTGTCCTCTAACATGTGTCATGTATGACATGTGAGGGACAGTCATCATTTTAATCAATTACAAGCAATCAACTGGTGTGTATGCTTTTTGTCAGTCTGTATTTGAGGTGTTTAGATCAAAATTCCAGTCCCGTAAAATATAATTAAAAAAATACTTCCCCTACATGAGCACTGAACTATGGTAATTTTTGCAAAAAGAAGCATAACAATTTACAGATAAAGACTTTTTTTTTTTGTTGAACAAACAGGAAAACATCATGCATGTGTTAAATGTAGAATTTTGTAATTTATTTGTAGTGTACAAACTGTTCAAACTGGTTTATGTTCTTTCACTGATTAGGCTCCAGTAGAAAGAAAATATTCAGAATATTACCAGTATGTCTTGTGCTTCAAATTGTCAGAGTTGCAGCAATCACATGACTAAACTCAAACCCATAATGGACTCCAATGAGGAAAAAAAAAAACAAATATAGACTTATTTATTCAATAAGCTCAGGTCCTATGTCCAAGAAAAACCTAACATAGCAGAAAAAACAGAAGTCACCCATTATTCTGCCTCACTTTCTATTTTTAAATAAGACATGCATCATCCACCAAGTTAGCAAAAGCACCTAATTATTGTACATGAATGTGATTTAAACTGCTGTTTCGTTTTGAGCTTGCTCAGATAAATCCATGCGTCAGCAAAGGGACAGAACAAAAGGTTGCACAGGGTTTTATACGGCAGTAAACATCACTGACCTGAAGCTGTACTTTTTCCTAGGAGAAACCATGAAGCATGAGTAAGGAAGAGAAAGGGAGAGATAACAGACACGGCAGACACATCAAAACACGGCAAGGAGACACAACAAGGCGAGCAGCACAGCACGGAGCGAGCAGACGAGCTGTAGGACTACACAGTGGGGCTGTTCAGTGTCATTCAACAACAAAGATGCAGGTGCAGATCAGAGAAACAGTCATTTATGTTAAAAATATAACCAAGATGTCACCAAAAGTTCTTGCAAATAGTCCCAGCAGCTTCAGAGGCATCATTTAAAATGTATAAAGATGTTTATTTGCAGAGTAATTGGGATGCTGTTAAGACTCTGACTGCACACAAAGTGAGTCGTTTCTTTTTTATTTCTTTTCAGCCCTACTATGTAGTGCCAGAAAATAAAACAAAAGAGCAGATTTATGGCAGGAAGTTATGGGAAAAGTACACAGGGGGAAAACAATTAAGTAAAATGTCATCGTTCTCAATTTTAACACCATTTCCCATTAACACTCGTCTCAGCTTTACCGTGAGCTTTTCTCACTTGAGCTTAAAGAGGTATCAACTCAAACTGACTTCAGTAGGTGCAGGCGAAGTGTTATCTGTGCTATGGAAAAAAAAAAGTGAGCCCACGTGTCAGTGTGATTTGTCCTTTTGAAGTGTATTACAGAGTCACATGGCAAATGTACAAAAGGAAGCAGAATGCATTAGCTGTTCTCTGGTTTAGTAAACAGATGGGAGGGACCGCTAAACAGTAACGAGCACCAAACTCTCACTGCGTTTGATAGCGTTCATTTAAATATAAATGTTGATTTATTATGTGGGCACAATGCACATGCACGGTGCTCGATGGTACAGTATATGGCAGGGGTCTGCAACCTACGGCTCTGGAGCCACATGTGGCTCTTTGATATCTCTGCAGCGGCTCTTTCAGGCTTTGAACAAAACTAAAACAAAACATAATTTTATTTAAATTATTGCCAACAGTGGAAAAAAGGCTAGTTTTAGCAGATGTCCTGTCATTTTCAAATATGTGAAGAATAGTACAAATACAAGGCGTAAAACGTGGACTACACCATGCTAGTAGATTTTTAGCCACTTGAAGTTAACTTCCTGTCTCACAGCGTGAGCTTTCTCTCAAAAGAAGCAGAATGTTTTGGAATATTTTTAAGACAAGTTGCTGAGAAGGAATATGGCGAGTACCTTTGATCACACTAAGAATAAAATTTAAAAAACAAAGTCAAAGTAAACAAAAGGAGTTATTTTCTTAAAAAATGTAACTGGATTTCCAACAAACTGGCCTAATTTTATACTTTGCTTTAAGTAGGATACTTAATTCTTCAACAGTTAAGAGAATTCACATTGGCCTGCAGATTTCAGAGTTTTAATTTTTAGAAAATTGTTAAAAATATATATATTTTTCTTTCTTTACATGAATCTGGTCTTTTGTATTCAATGTAAAAATATACATAAATGTTAGTAATAGTTAGATATTGTTCGTTTTATAATATCACCCCCACTGGATGGAAAAGCCATCTCCAGCAAACTTATAGTGGTCCACGGGCCACCAGTTAACAGTACACAGTTGTAGCAGGTTTTGCGGCTCTGGACATCGTAATTAGTAAACAAAGTGGCAAAAATGGCTCATTTTATCTCAAAGGTTGCAAACCCCTGGTATATGGTGTCTGAAACCACTTCCTAAAAGCTCTGAATAAACACACATCTGACACTTTCTCTTCGCCCTTCTAAGTTTAAAGACTGAGTGAGAAGTTCAAATTCACACAGATAAACCTCGGTATTTCACTTCTGAAGCAGAGTTAAACAAATTCAGCCTCCTCTTAATCTTCTAAATGTAATAATAACATAGTCACTTAACTTTAAAACAACACACTTGCCGTTTTTTTAAATATCAACGGAAAATTACGAGAAGTTAAAACGCCACTTAACGTCAAAGAGAAATCAACATAAATCTCTGTTAGTGTTGTGTAAAGTCTCTTCTATCCAGACAAGACTATTGGATTTATTACTGTCATTTTTAAAAAATATTAGGTTAGTATATGTGTGTATTCAGTCAAAAATAAAATTTTGTTGCTGAAAAAGAAAGGGATTTGTGCTAACTGTCACACTACACCGTCTAAACTTGGATTCAGATAATAGTATACAGACGAGTTAAATAATAGTATTTTAATCGTGTTGTATTCAAATCAATGATTGTATTAAAATCAAACCAACTTGTTCTTTCTCAGGATGATGGATTTTGACATAGTGAAGATTTAATTCGATCTGCTGGGGCTTTCATAATGTGAATGTATTGTATTATAATAGGAACTGAATCGACTGCAACTGGATTTGAATCTGCTTCTGAATTGGATTCATGATTCGCACGTTTTTTTGTCTTATGTGTCCGGAGATGATTTTTTTGTTGTTGTTGTGAATCGATGCTGTATGAATAAACTGAGTTAAGCTGAATTGAAAAAGAGGAAATGTGTCCTTGAGGACATCAGTTTATTTTTGATCTTTTGCAAATTTGTTGCATCGGAAAAAAATAAAAAATAAAAAATCAATGATGATGAATTCTTACGTGTTGTTCACAATCTGCAGCCGGTCACCTTTCCTAAATGTCAGATCAGATGCTGTCCGTGACTCATAGTCATACAGCGCCACAAACGTAGTGACACCTACTGCAAGAAAACCCACACAGAGACAGACATCTATTTAGTCATAACAGTAATTACAGACGCAACAAACAAGTTTATGGCTGCTTCCAAAACAAGGATTTAGCCATGAAGTTCAGCTCAATGACACTTTTTAACTGTTTTCCAGCGCACTAAAGAAAGATATTAACATTCACATGACTTCTGACTGACGGTTCTTGAAGGTCAGGAACATCCCGTAAATGGTTTTTAATTGTCTTGTCAGATTTCTTGGTTTTAACAAACCTTTTCTCTCAACTCTGGAGTCAATAATTGATTGGCTCATTAAAAGCACGACAGAAGAAATGTTCTGCGCCCTGCATGAAGCAGCATTAACTCAACCATCTGGCTTGTCTAGACAGCTTAAACATCGAGTACAACGTGGACACTGCAGCACACTGGGTTACTTAAAAAAAATAATAATCTTGCATATTTAATGGTAGGAAGAAGAACCAGCTTTATGTTTCTGTGTAAACATAACTACCGTAATTCCCGGACTATAAGCCGACACTTTATTCACACGCTTTGAACCTTGCGGCTTATATAATACTGCAGCTAATTTATGGATTTTTTATTTTTTTGGACGGGCTAATGAGCTTCCTGCCCCCAAAACATTTAGCCTCATCACACCCAGGCACTCACATAGCTGACCAATACATGTCTCTCTTGGGGGGTGGATGCTTGCTACTCAGAGAGACTACCTGTATAAATAAAGATTTTTTTAAATGGACTAATGAGACTGTGCAGGAGGAAGTTGAAGATGACGATCAATTACTTCCTGGTAGGTTACAGACATTTTTTTAACCAGCCAAAAACTAAAAATATCCTCTTTCAGTTCTATGGATTTTTCTGTCAAGACAACGTATCCTTGAATGGGCTTAAAATCTAGGATTACAGATTAAGGATACATAAAATTTCACACTAGGACTTTATTTTGCTTAACAAAAACTAAGTTAAATTTCAAAACAGATTGTGAAAAGCTAAACAAGCCCTTTAATTCAGAAGGCGGAATGACATTTACCTGCAATAAGCTTAAATTTCTCAGTCGCTCACATCCATTAAGTATTAGTACACAGATCTTTGCAAATGTTACTTCATGGAGGTTTTCAAATATTTGTTTAGGCACAGAAATGTCCCAGCACATTAATCCAATCAGACCAAGATGTTGACTTTGATTTGGCCATTTAGTCACTTCAGTTCTTTTATTTCAGCCATTTTATTATAAATTAGCTTCAGTGCTGTCGAGCATGAGCCAATTTGAGCCACAGTTCAGCTGTTTGACAAAAATGGCCTCACATCTGACTCAAGAATAACTCTGTGTACTGTGGAGGCAAACAAACTTCAGTTTTACTATCTTTTTGTCGCAGTGCAAATCCAATTTATCACTTGTCCTTCACAGTTTGATATGAAAGGTTTGTTCTAACATGTTGTAATTTATTTCATTCAAACATGAAACTGTGCATCATGGCCAAACATGACCATCCAATGGACACCGCTCATGTAAATCTGTAGCTGTGCAGACAAAACATCACAAACCTTTGCCATGGTGTATGTTCTTTGTTCAAAGATTAAAAAAAAAAACACCTGTGCTTTGAAAACTGTTCCAAATAAGCAGAATTAGTTTAGTCTTTTTAATGTCTTGGTCGTAAAAGTCAACATTTATCAAACTAACTGAGGCTTGCTTTCTATTTCTCTTTGTGTAATGCACAGTCTGACTTCAGCTGAACTGCCCAGGATAATTAAATATTATGCCCTGGTACAAAAAACTCAAGAATAAAAAAGATAAATTCATATTGTACTAACACTGGGTGTTTTACACCTTTTAAAAAAATATATATATTAACGTTACCTATAATATCTCTGTAGTACATTTATTACTTTTTAAAGTTGTTGCACCTTCTTAAGCGTTGAATTGAACTCTGTTGTTCCCTGGCCTGGGTCTGGTTTCTTACCGGACAGTGGTCCTCTCTGGGGTGACGTGATAGTTCCTGTGTGGTCCACCCCTCCAAAAAGAGCCAGTTCTGGAGTATTTGTTGGGGCGAGCTGGTGCTGCCCTTGATGGCCTCGCCTGCCTGTTCCGACAGCAGGGCTTCGGTTGGGAGTTTGGGTCTGCTGAGCTGGGCCCAGGTGGTGGAAGTGTCCGCTATCTGAACCTGTGCCAATGGTACCATCCAGGCTCATGGAGCGCTGGCCTGGCTCCTTGGGCTTGCTCTTGCCCGCCCCCATGTGCAGATCTGGGGTGAGAGCCAACAACCAAAAAAAAACAAGATTGTGATATTTAAAGCCTAAAGTTGCTACAAAGTTGTTACAGTTTATGTCTATTCAACATCACATATTATCTAAAGTAAAATTCAAACAGCTACTTATTTAAAATAACACAAATAAAAACATTTGCATTTATTCACCAACATAAACTGGCACATCTTTTCTATTCTTTCACCATTTTCTAACAAAACAAAAAAAATTGAAGATAGAATTTTGTTTACATTAATTATCGAATTTATTCTAAATCCTATAATCGGCATAGAGTGTCCCCGGAGCTGTATTTGATACAGTGAGAACCGGTTAGCATGAAGACATTTACATCAGGACGAATACATGGAATTCAAGGTTATTCCTTTGATTAAATCTGCTCTGAATCAATACGCATCAACCAGGTAAACAAAGCTGTAAACAAAAGGAGCAACGGATTGTACTGAAGTATTAAAGCTGGCAAGGGCGTGAGCGCATCACATCCATCAGTTACCTCCTGATGAATGCAACCAATCAGGAGGGTGCTGTCATCAAGAGTACAAAGACAAACAAGCTCACACAGTCAAGTGCACCCTCACAGAGTTGGAGTGCGTTATTCTCACACCAAGTCCCCTTCAGGCTTTCTGGAGTGACTCACTGTGAGACCAACTATTTCGGGCCAGCTGAAACAAGACAGTCACACACACATGAAACAGCCCTGTTCCTTTGTGAATAGGAGCACTCTCAGTTCCAGACGGATTGTGTGCATGTGCGTGGGTGTGTGTGCTCATGTGTATTAGCAGCTGTTCCCTGGCCTATGGGAGGCAAGGCTCAGCTGCACACCAACACCCCAGCACAGTTGTGTCTCATCTCCCCCCCCCCCCCC